GAATGACTGAATTAGTTTGGTTTACTTTACTCTGTTTGTATGTCAGTCAGTCTTTGTACTCTTTTGACGTTATGTACTTTGTTTTCTTTCGTTGGTTTTTTTTTTTTTTTTCCTGGCTTTTTCTTTCATTTTTCACACACACGCACACGCACACGCACACGTCTACATAGCCTTTAGCTTTAATTGTTTCACAAAGCTTATGTATGTAGGTAAGTAAGCAACACCGAGGAGGACAAGAACACATCTGAATATATGTATGTTTACTACATACGATGAAGGCGATGGCGATGGCGATAGCAATGGCGTTAGTATTAAGTTGGACCAATCTTATGTTATTTTCTTAGTCAGTGTGCATTTTTCCATATCACACCTACGTTTCCTTAATATATATGCGAATGCTTATCTGTGTGAGCAAGTAGCAAAAAAGTGCGAAAAAGGAAAATTAAAGATATAAGAGATATTTGATACGATATCAGTCTGAACGAGACGGTAATAGATGATATAGAAAAGCATTTGAGAAAAATCTTATTTCATATCCTTATGATTACAGCACTTGAATAATTTTCGGGGCATTCAATATATAATCATACGCTCTACTATCATATATGATGTGAAACAGTAACAACAACAACAACAACCATTCATTGTGAAGGAACAATAAACTTTGTCAAAGAAGCTGAAAAATCTAATCAAGATTTAATTTTATGAAATTGTTTACGATATTCATTACCTGGAAATTTTTTTAAAAACATAATGAAAAAGTGTATCGCTTGCAATGTGAAATTCTTATCGGACTAATGCGTGGATATTCAATATTCCTTTTCTATCTATTACTTCTTCTCAGCATAAAATCAGATTTATTTTTGTGACGATTTCTTTTCTTTTGTTTCGCATACATTTCGTATACCCATCTTTCACTCTTTTCTCTATCTGTTCAACTGTTCATTTTTCTTCTTTATATAAAATAAATGAGAACATTATCGTCAATCCATTCATCAAAAATTATATTATCTTCCCCCATAAAGGCATGTTTCTCTCATAGGACCCGTTATATGAGAGGTGTTCAAAAATATGGTCTCAGGTGGTGTTCAAATTTAGCAATCTTTGTTCTTGATCATCTATATATGCCATAAAGTATTTAAAATCGGAGTATGCTGCCACATATAGCTGTACATCTCGTGAGACCTCTTTATAAGAGGTGAGGTTCAAAAAATATCTTTACTTACCTACCTACTTAGTTCGCTGCATTCATTGTGGTTTGAAAAATAATAACTGCACAGACATTAGGTAGGCACCCAGAGAAACAGATGAAGTGGAAATCAAGTCGATTCAAAAAATGATTCGGATCTATTTGATATCATAAAACTTGGATGGATATATCGTAAGTCTTTCTGTGTGTTACGTAAATGCAAACAAAATACAAACTTAATATACTTTGTACCGCAAGCAGCGGTGTGGTGTATGAAAACTCACCAACACGCCCACACGCACTAATTTTTAAAAAAGTTTCTGCGAAGAAGAAATAAAAAATGCAATTATTGACTGACATCAGCCACGCTGCTCTTGACATTTCTTAGACGGCAGCTATTCGCACCTTACAGAGTAAGAGGAAAGTTTCAATTAAATCAGACGAACCGTCGCGTATCGCGACTGCTCGTATGAAAACTGCAAACATCAGAAAATCAATTTCTAGTGACGAAAAAGAAAGCTAACTGACATAATAGATTATGTCCCGAAAGCCTTTCTTATTCGGTACTTATTCTTTGCTAAGGGGCTGCTATTCAAACTTTTTTTGGTTTTGCTTATTCATTGTATCGCGCACCAATTATGGTAGAGGATACATTTACACCGCTCGATTCACAATCATTTGCTGAATCGGTTTAAGTTTGTCTGTCCGTCCTGCTGATGTATGTAAATCCATTTATTTTTGATGTTCCGTTCAGAGATTGCAATTTTTCAGATATTTTGACAACGTTTTGGTGTAAAGTTGATGCCTATGGGAAATGGATTGGATTGGAAAAATTTTACAACCACTTCCCGTATAATGCCATGATTTAAGAAATACTGGGATTTTTGAAAAAAATGCGTTTTTCAAACTTCCTCTACAAAAATCACTAACTAATCGTATTCCGGCGTTATAAATAGATGGGAAAAATTTTGATCAGATAGGTTAATTTCCCGAACTTGCGCTTCCATGTAATCCTCCCTACGAAAAGTATAGTTTAAGATGATAAAAATGAATGAATCTTTCATATGTGGTAAATAAAATTGATTTCTAATAGTAATCCGATGTGAAAATTAATTTTATCAAATTTCGATCAAATAAGTCGGTTTTTTCATCTAAAATGTACGCCATCACCGGAAGCTGAGGTAGAAATTTCAATATTTTATGAGAAAGGCAGGTAAAAACACTGCAGTGGGCCACAATCTTCACCGCTTTACACGTATTGATATGAGGTTTTTTTCAAAATAAAATTTTATTTGAAAAGTGGTCGAAACAGTGGTCCGATCCGAATCATTTTCAATGCAGTTTGTCCTTGGTCAGTGTACAAGAGGTACAGACAACCTTAAATTGATTTAGAAAGTGATTCGAAATCGATGGGCGCAATAAATATCTTAAGTCCTTTCGGATGTTACATACATCCGCAAAAATTTAATATACTCATTTAACACAAGTGATGTAGGTGCTGTAACGAGTAGTTGTATGAGGCGAACCGGTATAGGATTTGTAATATGGCTGCCCTGGTTGCCTTGGATGCATTTTTTTGGTTCTCTAATAATTAGGTAAATTAGGATCGGTAAACTTTAATAAGGATACGAAATAGACAGGGCTATTTCATGACTAGGATTATTTCACACTAGGATTATTTTATTTTATTTTCGACTCTTATTAATAGAAATTGAATGCGCATTACATCTACAGAGTGGGTAGAGTGAGTTTTGACCATTCATTTAATTCGTAACTAATCATTTTTTGTTTTTTATCTCTTTAATGTCATGCCAAATAATATATATATATATCAGGGAAATGTATTTGTATTACTGCATTCTACAAATTTACTTAGAAATCAATTATGACTAAACAATCTATGTGAAACGGCGTTAAGAAGTCAATTTCCTGTGTGCTGACAATTTTAAAAATGATATACGAAAATAAATTTGAGCACATGTGAAAGCATAAGTGCGTATATTCGTTAACAGTCATTACTACCCATATATACGCTTTAAGAGTGCTAACAGCACTCGGTCGGTAAGGTGAATGTAATCATAATATTTGAAATTCTCCTTAACAGATTTATGTTAGAAACGAAATATGCTTATATAAGACCCTATCGCATATTAATGGTAAATGTTAAAATTTGCAAGCAGATAAATTCTGCTAAAGGGGCCATTCTGTTACCCCTTTGCAGTTTATTTAACTGCCGAGTATGGTTAGAGTATTTAATACTTGAACGCACAATTTAACCTTCAAATGTCTGGCAATAAGTCTGCAAAGATGTCAGTTTAGCGTAGCGTTAGCTAAAGCATATATCTGTGAACGAAGTTGTAATAAAATTCTGCACATTGCACGCATGTCAGCTTACATTAGATGTGTCTGATATGTTTAGTTCAAGCGGAGTACCAGTAGAGATTTATCTCATAGTAGGGTAGATAGACTTAACGAAGATGTCTATTTAACAGAGTGCCTGTTTTCTGTAGAAGAGTAAGCATGCGCTCTCGCCATTCGATAAATATCCCTTACTCAGCACTGTTACAATGTTATGAACGAAACGCAGCTAGTAAAGCTGGACAGAGAACCTATGCTACTCTGTTAAACGGCAATGAAGCACGTTTGCGTTGCGTTATGTTAAGTTAGTAACAGCATGGTTGTTATTGCTTATCATAATTGAGACGAAAAAGAAACGTAACATCAGATTTGTTCTCTGTTTATGTATGCTTGACTTAATTTTCTTATAATCGACAATTTTTGCAGTGAGACTCTCTCGATCTCTCCCTCTCTCTCTCTCTCCCTCGCTTCCTCTCTCTGCTTTGTTTTTCTCCTGTTTTTATTACTAGTCTGCAATTAGTAATGTGAGGGAGTTTATTATGTTTTGTTCTTTTTTCTTCATCTAACTTCAGTGTGCAGTGACGATTGTATTGTTTTGTGTTTGTTGTATGAGGTTAAAACCCTTGTTATTTATGTTTTCGTTAAATTGTATCTTGTTTTTGATTGTTTTACGGACATGCGCAAATCTTTTTCTGTCCGTGTATCTGCACGGATTCGTACGTAAGTGAGTGTAAATATGCTGCTTTGCAGTTTATATGTAATAGAGCTCTCGCAGTAGATTTACTTTGCAGCGACGAACCTAAACATCTACTGTGTGCTGTACGCTCACTTAGCATTTTATGTACTGTGTGTGTACGCACATTAACTTCAAGATACACAAAAATTCTTTCATGCATTCAGTCTTAAATCGTCGCTCGCTGTTTATTAAACGTTGTGTGATTTAACCGGCGGCCTTTTCACAATATCTTCTCCAAACACACATATTAAATTTATGTACCACACACACGCTGTACTCCACGCAAAACAGAAATTTTGTTGAAAAAAAAAAAAAAAAAAAAAAAGAATAGAAAAAATCATTTAAAAGAAAAGGAAAATAAAATTCATTAGACGCGCGTGTACGGTCAAACACAAGAAAAAAATTCATTTCATTCACATTTTCGATATTTTGCTTCCAATGATTTTTGGTGATTTATTAATATATTAATTTGTTTCTTTTTTTTTTTTTTTCTGTTCAACTGGGAAGCAAGAAATAAAAGGATTTTTAGTAATTGTTGTGTTTGTTGTTGTGTCTAGTTAAAGACGTTTTTTTTTTTGTAATGTACGGTCAGTTAAAGATGTTAAAAGTGTTTCCTAGAAAACCATAAGGGGGAAAAAAAAATAATAAATAAATAAATAAATAAATAAATAATAAAAAAAAAAAAAAAAAAAAAAAATTTAAAAAAAAAAAAAAAAATTTAAAAAAAAAATCTAAAAAATTTAAGAAAAAAAAAAAAAAAAAACGCCCTTCTCTATATATTAGGAAATATGAAACACACAACAGCCAAAAAGAAGAAACACGTTACAGTTAAACTTACTAAGTCGAAACTAAAGGATATTTACTGCATTTGACCTGCCTTAGTAAAGGGAGCAACAACCGAACCGAACAGATTAAATAGTGGTTTAAAGGAAAATAGAAAGCAAAATTTAAGAAGAATTCAACTTTATAGCTTAGCAAAGGATGAACGAAACAATAATAACAATATCAACAGCAACAGCAACCGCAACAGCAGCAGCAACAACAACAACAATAAAATTAAAGTGCTGGTGCTCGTTTAACTACTTTGCCTTTGGATCCTTTCAAATATAAATCTGTGCTTTATTGCTGGCCTCTGGGGCGTACGACACACTGATGTATGTTATTATATTGTATATGAAAAGCGCCGTTAACTCGAAGGGCTAAGAGAAAATAAGACGAAGCAATCTAAGAGCCCTACCCCACTCGCACTCCTCTCTTACAGTCAGGCATTGAACTTTGCATTGCAACTGGTATCAAAAACAGTAGCCGATCTTTATCCAGACTTAAAGGCAAGCTTAGCTAAGCCTATCAGTTACTTATCAACAGCTATACAATGGCATAGGCATATATTCAGTTCGCCTTTGCTATTTAAACAAAATTCAAGCGTCAATTTCATAAAAAGAAAAAAGGTCTCCTCTTAACTCTTTAAGAACAGAAATCCAACGACAGACAAAAAAAAAAAAAAAAAAGGAAAAAATAAAAAAAAAAAAAATTTTTATTTTCGTTTGTGGTTTGGGGAAAAAAAAAAAAAAAAAAAAACAATTATTATAACGAATATGTGCTCACTAACGTGACAGAAATTTGCGAATAGTTAGTTAGTCATGCCATTAAAGGAAGAAATTTTTTATAAAATATTGTGTTGGTTTGCAGTGCGTGCGCCTGTATGGTCCTTCTAATTTTGCCTTTTCCGTTATAAAATCTAAATCTAATAAATAAGAGTGAGAGACAGCAACAAATTTTTCAAATATCTCTTCGGCTGTCTCTCTTTTCGTTCTTGTACGTGCAAATATATATTACTTGTATAAAATATAAAATATTTCTCAAGTGCGGTATACCGCTTTAAAAAGCCGTCAAAATTAAGTTCTCAAAGCAAAATCATCATCCGGCATACCGTCACGCTGAGAACATCTACGACGGTGGCACCGATACTGACGACGACGAATGTCCCTTGGAATCGTCGACGACCATGAATCCGTACGAATATGAGACCACACTCGATTGTCGCGATGATACGCGAACAATTGGCGGTGGCGGTGGTGGCGGTGTTATGATCGGTGGCATTAGTGGGCCTATAACACCACGCCATCCACACGGGTCACAGCAAAATACACTTCACCATCAAAATCAACAGAATTTTCAATTGCAGCAACAGCCGCAACAGCAGCAGCAGCAGCAACAACAACAACAGCAACAGCAACAACAACAACAGCAGCAAGATGCACAATCATCGACATATTATGACTACGAATATCAACATTTGCCACATCGTGCTAGCGATTTGAATCCGACAGCACCAACAGCAACACCATCAGCCGCCTCAACAGCAGCCCGCACACATGGCAGACAAGGCAAGTGCATTACTAGTCATTGTCGCTTCAAATATAATATTTAAAGAATTCTTCTCCACATTTTTGTTTTCATTCATTGAACGTGACACAAAAATTCCAATTTTTGCTTAAATAAAATTTTAACCGAATTACAATTCAAACGAACATAAAAATATTAATAAAACAGTTGAACATATGTTCGCATTTTTCTTTTTTATATTATAAATAATGCAAATAAGCAACTTACATACGTCCCTCTTATCTACCGACTGAGATTTAACATGAAAACTGAAATGAAAATGGATTTTCCATTCATTTGCAATGGTTTAGTGAATGGGAATTAAAAGGGAATTTTGGCTATGTAATCCGATTCAACTTTATTAATACAGTTGGGGCAACCGTTTTAGTTTTTTCATACTTTTTCATACTTTTCAAGGCTCGATTAAAATGCCGATTGCTCACTTTCATGACGGCTTGCCAGGCGACTTTGTGAGATTAGCTCGCAGATTTATCTTGGCCAGCAATGCATAAATTCAGTGATGCTTTCGAGGCGAATGACTAACTTCATATTCGATCTCGCTTATGCTTAACAAATTCTTATTAGAATCTACTAAGATCTTGATTTCAATCAATTTTATCAATAAATAGCCAACAAAAGTCAATAGCCTCCTTATAATCAATATCCTCGTAAAGTAAGAAATTTGCTTTTCGTACCCATCTTTTTATTCTATACGTCAGCGGTACCAATGAATATTTTCCTTGAACATCCGCTTCAAAACTTAATTACTACTTAATACATTTTAAATATATAAGAGGCGAAAAAATAAAAACGACTATAAATAATATGGTCAATGATTACAAACTAGAATTTTGCATAGACGCAATAATAATGAAACAAAATCGCTTCTTTTTTTTTTTTTTTTTTTTTTTTCATCCCCTGTTGCCAAATATATTAAAGCATAAGGAATATAAAAAAGAAAAAAAAAAAAATTGCATACAAAGGTTATCACCCTGCCAGTAGGCATAAAGTAATGCATTCAACTAGATTTTATTAAGCCCCGCAGACTCAAACCTATAACAACTTTATATAGTAGAGTTTGAGTACAGATTTATACGTCTAACTATATTTTTAAAAAAATGATTACAAAAAGGAAAACAATTGAAAAAATGAAAACTATTATCTAGGGGGCATCGTCGAAGGACAACGAGATATTTATTCCAAAGAATATTTTAGCGACCTTATAAAGTGCATATATTGTTAATTAGCAGCAGATTCTGGTTTCGTTTCGATTGTCGAACTCACAAAAAATTTAGATAGAAAACGCTTAACATATACTTTTTGTTAATGAAGCGCACCACAGTTGGAAAATGGTCTTAATTCAGCCACAGCTTATCTATAGGAAATGAAACGCAGGCAATTGATAGGCGATTCTGAACATTGCTGCAAAATTTGGTGCAAATGTTCGCAAATTAAGCTGAAAAGCAAATCGTCGATCTCGGTATCCAAAGAGGTCTATATTAAATCGTAGCTTTTGAAATATATACCAAGCCATCTAAACGTACATTCAATGATATTGTTGAGATAAGTGGATGAGTACCAGATATTTGCTGGAAAGTGTGTGCAAGTTTCTTGTGTGTTCGAATCATCATCCATCGATAGTACTAATAGCTACTAGCATAAGTCTCTCTCTCTCAATGCAAGCAAATAGTTTTTAAGAAAGTTTTAAGAAATATATGACGAACTTGTTGCTACGCCTTTTGCTTCTCCTTTCTCTTCGCAACAAAGTGAATGACTGGTGCCGATATACGTTAGAGGAAATATATTATTGATAGAAAAATATTGAATATACATTTTATTGACTGATCGATCATTCTCCGTATTAAGCTTGCAGTGTCTTTAACTCAATCAAGATTAAATTTCTTCTCCATTTCTCCATTCAACTCTTGGGTTTTGCTTTTTGTTTCGATTTTAAAAAACGATTAAATCACTGCGCCTGCAGAGCTAACAAAATAGTTTGTTAATTCTAGGATAATTGAAAATGCGCCACATTTGCGGAGGCTCGGCACCTATCGTTTCCTTTCCTTTAATGGTCCGCAAATAAATAAAATCTTATTTATTATTATTATAGTTAATTTAGTTAAAGAAATAAATTTGAAAGTCCGAGTTCTAAAGCACTAGCATCTCTTGAATCTTATTTAAGAAGCAAAAGTATAGAGATATCGCATGGATGCATGCCTTTGATTCGTCTAGTTCAAATCATGGCTATTCAAGACCTACTCCTGTTTGTCGAAATGTTCTCTACGAGAAAGAGCGCAACATTTCGAACGGCCATAACGGCAAGTTCTCATTCAATTGTTGTATAGTGTTTTTAAAAGCGATGTGTTAAAATTAATTCATGTAATTAGACTTACAAAAAATATTAGACTTGAACCCATGCACAATAGCTATCGTCCATTTATCCGTGTGTGTTTATTTTTACACTCATCACCGAAGAATGAGGTGTGCACTCATTTTGTCAAAAAGTGTGCAAAGCCCAGAAGGAAGCTTCCGAGACCCCACGAAGTGCATACATTCTTGATCGGTAGCAAATTTTTTTTCGTGCATCTGTCTGCGTAATGTCTTTTGTATACATTCTCGTTTGCTGTACACGCCTACTGACCACGTAAATTAAGAATACTTATGTTGTACGAAAGAAATGAAAAATTAATAATTTGCCCATTACTCATAAGCTATGACAGATAAATATACAAAAACTGAAACATATATTCTATGGACGATGCTGTAGTATCTGTATAAAAATAGGGAAAATTTGCCGAGTCTACTGCCCAATTTTATATTATGTCATAATATCATTTTTTTGTAAAACCTTTTGAACCCACAAAAGCAACGTTCAAAAGTACATAAATTGTTGAGCAGCCTCGAATCGAAACGCTTACTGCACATAAATTTGCACTTTTATTTTAACCATAAGACGTATCAGTCGCGTCCACCCAATATTATCGATGATGAAAATTTAGTCCTTTTTTTTTTTTTTTTGGTTTTCTTTAAGTAACGACAATGGCTATAAAACATTTGGTTACGATCGAATATAATTTTCTTACTTGTTCTGTCTCGGAAGCTCCCGACATCATCAAAACTAAGGCTAAACATTTTCATTCAGCCAGGCCTGGACTTTTTGTGCCCACCTTATAATGTGCCTTTTACCTTATAATGAGACAAAAAAAAAAAAAAAAAAAAAATTAAAGGACAAATGAATAGAAAAATGATAACTTGTTACGCTATAATATTGGATAGAGGCGGTCGCTTTTTTTATAATTTTGAACAGATACCTATGCAAAACTCCAATATGCTAGCTTTTGAAAAAACATATTTTACTTTAAGCGTGACTTTTAACCTATTTGACGGTGAATGCATGAAATGGTTACAAAAGTTTAAGATTTATGCCAGATTCGAAATCAACATCTTGGTTCGTCCATTCCTTTGACAGAAATAGAGAGAGAAACAGACATAGACGATCGGACATGCTGAAATCGATTCAAAATTGGCACCGGCCGTTTGAAGCGATCTTTCTTTGTGGAAATCGTTTAAACTTTCGCTTGATGGATATAAAAAATCAAAAATTACCAGTTATTTCTCATTTCTGTTTTAATATAATATTATTAATAGTACTCTGCTCTCAAAATAAAAACGCTCCGAATCGAGTTGATGTTCACCAAATAGCAAATGATTTCTCCATAGTTGGTTAAATCAGTGAATAAGCTACGCTCCCCTTTCCACTAATTATCATCATATCAATCAAAAAAGAAATAAATTTCTAGATACCTACGACTAAGTTTAAATTGCAATTGGCATTAATCTCGCTTGTTTATATTAATCAGCGTCGATTTATTGCAATCCACTGACTCTTAACTTGGAGATCAGTTCACTATTATTTGATTTAGAAGCTAATAACTAACATTTCAAAAATATGGTGTATGAACATCAAATGCGTAGAGAGTTAAGTTAACAAAAATAAAAATAAAATATATATAAAAACTATGGATAAATTAAATGTTGTGAAACACTGGCACTGGTAATCTTGATAGCTGTTTTTTCCCCTTGTTCATCGATCATACACGCTGCCAGACTGTCTTATACAAATTCGTTTGGCATTTTAACAATAGTACTTATCCTGATCGGTGAAATAAATTGCTTTTTCTATATATACAGAAATATATATATATATATAGAAATAGGGGAATATCGTAAGTGAAAATAGTTGTCAGCATTAACGCTTTTAAGATTTTTATCGAAAATATATTTCTCTTAGCCGAATTAGATAATCAATACAAATGTCCATTGAATTCAATCAAAAGTTTAATTGACTGCGACCGGCATACGACGATACGACAAGGCTTCAATATTGAGATCGTATGTAATCTCAAAAACTAATTAATTAATTGTTTTAGGATATTCACGAAACATTTTCTAAATCCTTTCAATTTTCGCTACAAACAGTGAACGGCCTGTATCAACAAGGATATGAACAGAACAACGTCCTTGTTTGCGGAGTCAAAACTCAAGTGCATTAGACTTTACGTTAGTCGTAGCATAACACTTATCGATTGGGCATACACCCGCAAGTCTGTGGTCACCACCCTTCTATCCCTTTCTCTTTCCTTACTTCCTTTTCTCGTGTCGCCATGTTACACAAATAGGCGGCATCCCCTAAGTGATTGATTATATTCAAAAAAGGAGGCAGAAAACAACAAAAAAAAGAACACATATGAACACTTTCTTAGAAAAGGTGAAATTTGATTATTTCTCTCTCTATTCTTGTGATAATGAGTGTAGCGCGAAGTTACCGATGACCGGATATGGTGTGCATGTGGTATTCTTTGTAACGGTGTAAAGTTCCAAAACGCAGCAAACTCGTGGTATTGTACGAAAATCTCGTTAAATGTGATTGATCTCTACTAAGTCAAGGTCAACTAATATAAAACGAATTTATAAAAATATTTAAATGGGTTTAATATTTCCA